GGATCATCGGCGAAGGAACTAGTGTGTTCTATTTGGTAAAATTTTAGCGAAATACAATTGAAAAGTTCGGTCACTATATAATATTCTAATATAATTTATTTAAATTTTTTAATATATATTATTTTTAATCAATAATATATATATATATATGTATAATACGAATATTAAACGAGAAAATGCTAACTAACTATTGGAGAAGCTCTAATTGGGCCAAGCCCAAATGGATGAAGTTCATAACTACAATAAATGACATAATTTAAAATAAATGACATACTTTCTTTAAGTGCACAAGTCACTTCCATTATTTTATTTTATTTTATTTTTAAAAGGAAGAGAAAAAGGTGCATAAATTACATATTGTTTTCTATGATCTTTCTGATGTGCTCCCCAATTTTCTTTGGCTTTTACTGTGAGTTCCCCTCAACTTCAGAATCTGTACACACAATAAAACACAGAATTAGGCTTTCTGTTCATACCAAACCAAAAAAAATTCATAATAAAATAATAAGCACTCAATCTGGCACTTGGGCAAAAGAAGCCTTAAAGTTCCAAGGTGATAAGGTCGATGGAAGACTTGGGATTTACCTGGACCGCACTTAATCCGGCACTTGCGATCACAGCGTTGATAAAGTCTCGCTGCATATTTACATAAATAACAAAACAAATCAGTCACTACATTACATACAAATACAAATGAACCAAAACATTATGTTTCTCCCTTCAATCTAAATTCCCTAAATTAAATGATAAATCTAACATGAAAAACAATCTAGTTTCTCACTACTCTCTCTCTCTCTCTCTCTCTCTCTCTCTCTCTCTCTCTCTCTCTCCAATCTAATATTCAAGATGTCCAAAATTCAAATTCACTCTACTCAATATAATATATGTGAGTCGGGCCAATTGGTCAGGACAGCGAGTTTATGCGCTGGCATCCAAGTTTGAGTTTCGCTCCCGTAAGTGATTTCAACAAACAAATCTATGAACATGCTAGGAATTGTTTAAAAATTAGAAATTACATACTGTTGCTTTGAACACAGCCAGTGTTGCAAGCATCATAGCAGTCAACTCCAGCAGAATCTACCACCTTCTCCATACAAGAAAACACCGCACACAGAACCAACAGAGCAACCGCCATCTTCTTCACCGTCGACATTTTTCTTCTTCTTCTTCTTCTTTTGCTCCGAATGGCTTCCTTTTATGGACACCGCATTTGGAAACTGCCCATGATTATGCACTGGAACTACGAAAGCGCCACTAATGAAACACAACGGGTCCCATTGTTCTTTAATACGGAGTCGCCCATTTTGACCATGCATGGTTTTGCTTAGATCTATGTATGTACACCTGTGTTGGAGGTTGACACGTTACATATGCTGTGGACGTGGTAGCCTAATAAGCTAGATTAACTCAAAAATAAATAAATAAATTACATTAACAAAATAAAATAAATAGTAGGTATATAAACATAGACAAAAGTTCCCATTTGTAAACATAATAAAGATTTTCAGCGGTTTTACCCTTTGAAATAATCACCCAATTGAATTTAATTCTTCGAATAAAAAAATTATTTAATTTAACATCCGAATTAATTAAAATTGTCAATTTATTTTTTACTATCAAAATTTTATACTTTCATCCACTTTTCTATCCAAAACTAAGATATTTGAGTTTTTATTATTATTAAAAACTAAGATATTTAGAAAAAAAAAAAAATTTGGAAGAAACCCGATATCCCTTTGAAACAGAGGGCTTCAAATTCAAACAGATCCCTAATCAACCTAATCAACCCAATCAACATCTTCTCCGAGGGGAAGGGGGTGGGGCTACAAGTGGACTCGTGGGTGGCTCCTAGTGCAGAGTGGGTGGGTGGGGGAAGGAGGAGGAGAGTGTTTGGACATGTATGTTTTCGCTCATGGGCCTAAAAAAAAGGGCCTTCCAAGATTGCGGCAATTTTAAAAAGGCCAAATACTAATGCGCTTAAAGAGGACGTCCAAGCACACACACGAGGCCTAAACAACAAAAGAAGCCGAGCTCTTCTAAACAAAAAGGAAAGTTTGCCTCAAACTAGGGAGCAAACAAAAAGGAAGTTTGCGCAGTGCGTGTGTTATGAAAGAAACTAGCTCGACAACAAAAGGAGATTGTTTGCTCTTGTAGACTGAGGAATTGTTTGCCTCACTGAGAGAGCAAGGGTCTGAGACCTAACATGAGGTTAGAGGTGCACCGCCCAAGCTATCAGAAAGCAGCTGAATGTCACCTTTCCACCATCCAGATTGGTCAAATCATAAGTGAAAGTGTAAGATAGAAACTATGAGGTTGATGTGACGGAGGTCAGAGCACAACTAGGATTTTTGTCTCGACCGGAGAAATACAAAGTCTATAAATAGAAGAAAATTCCATGAAACAAAGGTCCAGAACCAATCAAATAAATCAAGCCCAACGGTGGCCGATAATTTGTTCCAATCTCGGCCAAGAAGAAGTCAAGATCATAGCGCAGAGCACCATTCATTTGCTCATTTGTAGCCACACGATCACTTGTGACTGTAGTACTGGCACGCCACACACACACTAAGAAGGACGTCTTTTTTTTTTTTTTTTTTTTTGGTCTGAGAAGGACGTCTTT